CAAATGGAAAAGGTTGTACACACAAAGTAAATACTTTTGAGTGAAATATTTTGAAATTGAAGACTGAAAAGGAAGCCAGATATGAGTCAACAGTGTGCCCTTGTAGCCAAGAAGGCTAATGGTATATTAGGATGCATTAGGAGGAGCATTGCCAGCAGATCTAGAGAAATGATGATTCCCCTTTATACGGCACTAGTGAGTCCACATCTGGAATATTGCGTCCAATTCTGGGGCCCAAACTAGAAAAAGAATGTGGATGTATTGGAGACGGTCCAGTGGAGAGCAACCAAAATCATTAGGGGGCTGGAGCACTTGATCTACGAGGAGAGGCTGAGAGATTTGGGCTTATGTAGTCTTCAGAAGAGAAGAGTGAGGGGGATTTGATAGCAGCCTTCAACTTCCTGAAGGGTGGTTCCAAAGAGGATGAAGAGAGGCTGTTCTCAGTAGTGACAGATGGCAGAACAAGGAGCAATGGCGTCAAGTTACAGTGGGGGAAGTCTAGGTTGGATATTAAAAAAACTGTTTCACTAGGAGGGTGGTGAAGCACTGGGATGGGTTACCTAGGGAGGTGGTGGAATCTCCATCTCTAGACGTGTTTAAGTCCTGGCTTGACAAATCCCTGGCTGGGATGATTTACTTGGATTGGTCCTGCTTTGGACAGGGGGCTGGACTTGATGATCTCCTGAGGTCTCTTCCAGCCCTAGGATTCTATGATTCTATGTTTCAATAAACATAACTGGGTAATTAGGAAAAGAAAATGTAGGTTTAAAGAATGAATTCTGTTCTGTACATTTAAGTCTCCTTTTGTCTTCCCAATACTAGGCTGTTCCAGAAGTGCAAGTAGGGTACAGTCTGGTATGCTTTACTAGCAAGATATTTATAGCCAGAATGGCATACTGGAAAGACACAGGAGCTCCTCCGGTGTGGCTGTACCACAACTCACATCTTCCATGCATGGTCATCCCCATCTCTGCAGCATCTATGGTGGTGAACAGGGCTGGGACTGGTGATGCCATGCCAAGTAGCTGCCAGTGCACTGCTCCTTTCCCTGCTGCAGTTCCTCAAGAAAGCCCTGAACTACAGGGCTCTCCCAAGAACTCCAGTGAGCAAAGGAGCAGAAATGGGGACACTGGGTAGCCTCACACTGGCAGCTCCAGTATGCCCCCAGACCTGCCTTCTAGTGGGCAGATTGAGGAGATCCTGCATGGAAGGAGTGTGAGCAGTACAGTCACCTCGGAGGAGCTACTGGTGTAGGGCCACCCAGCAGTCTCAGATTCTGTTCCTTTCACTGCTACAGTTCCAAAGTCTCTGGCACAGCAGAAGGACAGTGATCCCCCCTCCTCTCCCCAGGCAAGGAGGATGGATCATGGCAAGGGAAGGGAAATAGTGTGAGGGGCTTGGGCTAGGGTGAGAAGGAATCACATGGAGAATCATGGGAGGAAGTTATGTTTCCCTGTTAGCTGCTCCTCTCATACCAGTAAGAAATGGATTCCACCTGTTCCTTTGGGTTTTGCTGAAGGCTGGAAAGACCCCAGCATAATTTAAGCAGCTGAGATATGGTAGCCTTCTGAGTCTATTCTGGCTGTAACACTGTCCAGAATCCCTGCAGCAGCATGGCTGTGTCTAGACTGGCACGTTTTTCCACAAAAGCGTTTGCTTTTGCGGAAAAACTTGCCAGCTGTCTACACTGGCCGCTTGAATTTCCACAAGAACACTGACCTCCTACTGTCTGAAATCAGTGCTTCTTGTGGAAATACTATGCTGCTCCCGTTCGGGCAAAAGTCCCTTTTGTGCAAAGCTTTTGTGCAAAAGGGCCAGTGTAGACAGCTCAGATTTGTTTTGCGCAAAAAAGCCCCAATCGCGAAAATGGCGATCGGGGCTTTTTTGCGCAAAAGCGCGTCTAGATTGGCACGGACACTTTTCCGCAAAAAGTACTTTTGCGAAAAAGCATCCGTGCCAATCTAGACGCTCTTTCCGCAAATGCTTTTAACAAAAAAACTTTTCCGTTAAAAGCATTTGCGGAAAATCATGGCAGTCTAGACATAGCCCATGTGTTTGGAGCCTGTCCATCAGCACCACTCCTGCCACAGCTCCTTCCTTGAGGCTTCTGATGGTGAACCACAAAGGCAGATTTATCCAGGTCAGATTGCCACAATGCTTGCAGAGGAGGACTCATCCCCGAAAACCACCAAGGCTTTTAGGTCTCCTTTGCACTATTCTGATCATTTTATTTGGCACAAGGGGACTGGAGCAGAAGTCAAGATATCACCTTATTAAGTGCCATTTGTTCTAGCTATAATCATCATTTTCTACATTCCAGTCATTGTAAATGTAAACTTGACAGACTTTATAACCCCCAGGAAGTTAGGAAAATGGAGATAGAACTGTTTCCTGTTGGGAAAACTGAGCTACAAAGAGGTCAAGTGATTTGCACAAAGTCATGCAGCAAATCTCTATCAGGTATCCTGGAAATGAAACTCAGTTTATTTAGTTCCTAGTCCCATGTTCAAACAACAAAATTGCATTCATTCTCAAGTCCTGGTATTGTTTCTCAGGAAATTCTCTCCTTTTTAAGAGGCTTTTGGAAACTCCATTACCTCCAACCTGAGATCAGATGTGTTGCCTCTAATAATAAAGCTGTTATGGGTTTCCACACAAATATAGTAAACCAGAAATAAAAGAAGAAAGACTGTGTATTTTGCTTCTTCAGTCGTACTGTACACGGATATATGGAAACAATGTTTTCATTAAGTTGAGACATTCCACTGGGACTCACTTGCCCTACAGTGCTTTCTTCATGATTTCATATATTTCTATTGGTCCTATTGATTAGGCATCTGTTTCCACATAGGCATAGTTTACTCTTGTGGAACAATGTTTAGCAGCTGTTACAATTCAGACAAGTGTTAACAGAGTGAGAATTAATTTAACACCCAATAATATTTTAACACCTGGTCTGACAACAGCAATATCATTGAATTTCACCTTTAGAAATTGCTTAGTGAGTTACTTTTATCATTACTTTGACTTTGACCACAGTATGCATGGTTTTGTTTCAAAACAATGTCTTGGAATTAAAACACAATCTTGTACTCCTAGTGAGTTTTATTTTTAATGAATCTTTCTCCCATAAAGTTATGCTGCCAAGTTAAATGAATCTTCTTCTTACCAAAGCTGACCCTCCAATTTTCCAGCTAAAATGTAATCGATCAATAAAGATCAATGCACATAGTTTTAGTAAAATGTTTCTGGATCCAAGAAATTACTAATTCCTCTTACTCATGTGAAGGCAGATGTCAATTCCATGTACAGATAAGTCTTTTGGCAGCCAGTTCCAGGACTGATTACAGCACATCTGATGAAACACCTGCTAGAAATGGAATTTATTCACAAAGTGGTCAGAATTTTTTCTGGCTGAGTACAAACTCCTATGCAACTAGAATAGTGTTGAAAGTTCTTAAGAAATTGTGTGAGTGCACCTGTGATATTTAAAACATTGTGTTTGGCAGTTAAGTAAAGCATTACTTTCAAAAATTTTGAGTATACTGTGCAGGAACAAGGTTCAGTTCTCTGCTCAGAACCTTTTCTGGCTATGTGTGAAGCAGAAAGAGAGACTGTTCCTCTGCAAACATCTAAATCTAATTTATAAATGGTGGTTGTGCCAAAGAATTGCAACATTTAAGCCAAAGAAGAACATCAAGTGACTGCAGCCTACTATTCTCAAATCAGTTTACAGTGTCCATATACTAGTCTAAAATCAGATTAAACATAACTCTGCAATACGGAGGAAATTAGATTACTTCAAATGCTTATCATCCAATTTATGCATTCGCTTTACAGATGCTGCATCGTCCTTTATATTATTTCATTTAATACACTAAGAAACTCCAGCTCCTTGAGTGACTTGTTTAATCTCAATTGCTTTGCTTTTCATATCAGCAGCAAAAATAGGCAGGGAAATAAAGCAGGATGGACAATTTCCACTAGTGCCAAACAGGAGAAGATTTGATATACCTGCCAAGTCATCCTCATTTCACATGTTTAAACATTGTATTGATGCTGAGGCTCAGGATCTGCAATCAATCAAATATTCACTGAGTTTATCTGATGCTGGGCTATCCTCTACCCTTGCACTGACTTCTGTGTTTTACTGGAGTGCTGTGTGTCAAGGAGATGTGGGAAAGGCATGACCAATTTCCTAATGCTAACCACTAATTTGAACAAATGGTAACCACATCAACAACTAGAGAATAAAAACATAGAAGTTTTTCTTGGTCAAGGAGTAGGAGCTGGATAGGAGTATTTTAAGGAAATATCTTGGGTATGATTCTACATTAGTTTTATGCCTGTGACTTATGGTATGTCCACATAGCTGCTGCAGGTGTGATTTGCAATTTGTGGAGATAAACCAGGACTAGCTGTGCTCTAACTAGCTTGCCTAAAATATTATTAAGATTGCAATAACACGTGATTTATGTACAAGTACTGATTCAAGGGGTCATATGGATTTGTGCAGCTGCATCTGGCCCTCAAGCCTTAGGTCCCCTCCCCCCAAGCTTATGTCATAATAAAATTGTTAGTCTTTAAGGTGCCACCGGACTCCTTGTTGTTTTTGCTGAAACAGACCAATACAGCTGCTACTTTGATAGCTAATATGCACACTGAATATCTATATACCACAGACTTCTTTTAACCTTGTTATAAGGAGGCAGAAGCTAAAGTGATAAGTTAGTTTTAGTGTAGCAGTAAGTGTTGTTTTTCCCAGTGTTTTGTCTCTTACTGGCTGCTGTTAACCACAGATGATCTCCATAACTGGATTAAAGTTTTTTTTCCTTGGGGCCTGCTAGGCGGCAGAAGGTAGGAACAATAATAATAGGAGTAATGTAAACTCCACTGTAGTTAAAAGAATGAAATATTGACTTTTATGGTTGATTAGACCAGAGTAGGTAGCACTTACTATACTACTTGCTTCCATACTTAACCCTGTTTTCCTTCCATAGCTACTTGGGAGCAGACAACAGTCACATATCTGATGTCAACAATAAAGGAGATCCTGACCATCCCAGTGGTGATGCTGGATATACGGGAAGCCTCCATATAACCTCTACTGCAGTCATTTTACTTTTAAGGAAAATAATCTTGGTGCACCCACCTCGCTGAGCCCATGAACATACACACAGGCATGGTTGGGAGCATCCAGCAACAAAACTGAGCTAATATGTGCAAATGGGTTTAACCAAACATACCAACTATAAATTGTATACAGCCAATATATTTAGATTAAAGTTAACACACCTTTGCTTGACAATTTGGAAAAATACTATGTAACAGATTAATCAAATGTCACAACCGCTTCAGGTCATAGGGGGCACATCAATAAATCAATTAGTGCAGCCTACAGTAGCAAATTAACTCAACCAACATGCATTTGGACTGGCACCATTTATACCACCCCGATTGTGCATTCTCTTTATACCAGTCGGCTGTGTCTACATTGGCCCCTATTCCGTAATAGGGATGCAAATGTAGCACTTTGGAATAGGCAACTACTTTCAAGCTCTTTTCCGGAGGATCTCTTATTCCTACTTTCAAGCTCTTTTCCGGAGGATCTCTTATTCCTACTTTCAAGCTCTTTTCCGGAGGATCTCTTATTCCTACTTTCAAGCTCTTTTCCGGAGGATCTCTTATTCCTACTTTCAAGCTCTTTTCCGGAGGATCTCTTATTCCTACTTTCAAGCTCTTTTCCGGAGGATCTCTTATTCCTACTTTCAAGTAGGAATAAGAGATCCTCCGGAAAAGAGCTTATTTTCCAGAGGATCGCGTCCAGACTGGCGCTTTTCTCCGGCTTATCTACAAGCCGGAAAAAAGTGGCAGCCATGTTAATGCAAATGCCGCGGGGGATATTTAAAGCCCCCGTGGATTTGCCTATTCCAAAGTGCTACATTTGCATCCCTATTATGGAATAGGGGCCAATGTAAACACAGCCGTCTTGTTTAATGCTATTTGTTCCATGATGACTAAGACATGTCTCTGCTACAGATCCCTACCTTTCCATTTGATGAGAAACAATTGCATTTCACACGCATCCCATTGTCCTGGCCTGACCAAACCCTGACCTTGCTTTAAGTTATGAGAAGAGGAAGCTTCAGACCAAAGTTTATTCTAGCTCTTATAGATTAGGAGGAATTCTTGAACAAATAGACTCCTAGACAGATATACAAACTCTCTAATATATAGTAGACAATTTTTAAGACGATTTCTGTTTTATTTAAAAACATTTTTTAAAAATGTTGATGACCAAACTCCACAATGTTTGATTTTGGTTTTTCAGTTAAACTATGAACAATTCAAATGCTGAAACATATTTCAAATGTTTACTAGAAAACAAACTCCTTTTGTGGGCAGGCTCATGGGAGGGAGGGGAGGTGCACAAGTCAGGGCTGGGGCTTGAAAATATGATAGGGCTCAGAGCAGGAGGAAAAATGTAGGAGAAGGTGCATAAACTTGTAATGATTCCTTATGTTACAAATTAATTTGATAGTACTAACTAAATGAGATTTTTTAAAACATATTGAATATTTGGTACAGTATAATGCTTTTATTATCAGGAATTATATGTTCACTGACAATCTGATTAATTACAATCAGTGCTATTAATACTAGGTGTGAGCAACTCTTTTGAATAACATTTAGATAAAAGATGTTTTCATTTTTAAATCTGAACATGTGGGAACCACTACTAAAGAGCACAGAATGTAATTTGCCTATCCTTTTAGCCCCCTCTAATAGCCATGCCCACTCATCTCAGAAGCAAAATACACATGAGAAAAGAGAATCATGTAAAGCATTCCTTGGCTTTAAAAGCCATTCATGTTGTATCTTTATATATGTGTGCTAATTCAGTTTGTCCCTTGAAGTGAGGCAATATTGTGTTGTCCTACTGAGAGGGAGGGTGACCAAGAAAACAAAACAATATTTTGTATCTCTCTTTGTAAGCTTCTCTGAGTTTGAAGAGTTGGATTTGTGTGTAGCAAAGGTCAAGAGTGGATTAAGGTAAGATTAAAAGTCAGGGACACATAGTACTTGGATTAAAGGGAAGTCTACCTTTGGAGACTGCTGGAGTACATCTTGTAATTTGGGGAAAAGGAGGTAGAATTGGCAGGGCAGAGAACCAGGAGTGCCAGAAGCAGAACTGTGTTCTCTTGTGAAGTGGCCCTTTGGATTGTTGAGGGTTCTATGGTCACATAGGGTACGTCTAGACTACAGGGGTTTGTCAACAGAAGTTTTGTCGACAGATATTGTCAACAAAGCTTCTGTCGACAAAGAGCGTCTACACTACATTCAGTTCTGTCGACAAAGCAAGCTGCTTTGTCGACATAACAGTGTGGACGCAAAGGACAGTTTAGATGCAATAATGCCTTCTGTGGACAGAACTCTGTCGACAAAAGGCGTTATTCCTCGTAAGATGAGGTTTACCAGCGTCGACAAAACTGCTGAGTTCTGTCGACGTTATGTCGACAGAACTCAGCGGTAGTGTAGACGCAGGTTTAGTTTTGTCGACAAAAGTCCACTTTTGTTGACAAAACCCTGTAGTCTAGACACACCCATAGTGTCTAAGCCTTGTTTACTTTACTTTTAATAACCAATGGCCACGGTATCTCTATCATTACCTTCTCTACCCAAAAAGCCTGTCCATGCTTTTTCAAGTATTTTGAAATTTTCTGGGTAGAGGGAATGCATTGTCTGAATATGATAAGCTTTTGTGTCTACATGTCTCTCTGGACTCAAACAGAAACATTACCTGATATATCCTACATTACCTGTAGGATATATCAGGAATATCAATTTGCCCAACTAACAGCTGTGATGGCAGATGGCCAAGAGTTTGAGAGCCGTACCTAATTTTGCATAGTACAAAGCAGATTAGAGTCCTCCTTTATGTGGAATTCTGTTTTGTCTGTACTGCACCTTTAATGTAAGAAGTTGCCTGTCTGCTAGGGGGCAAGACAACGAGAGGACTCAAGATAGTAGATCATATGGAGTGAAACACAGTGCACTTTATTTCTCCTGCAGATTTTTATCTGTTTGTTGTTTTCTGTCATCTAAAATAACAGTTGCCTTGGCTGAAAGCATAGTAGTCCTTGTGCTATGACTCTATAGAAAATATAACACGGAAGCGTGGTTTGTGGGCAGGCTTTTTATTTAATTATGGAGCAGTGCACTTTGGAACCTGGAGTCAGTAAGGTATGCCTCCATACCAAAAATGTTAGAGGCCATTGGTCATACTGCCAGCCTTTTTTGACCTACAGACCACTCCAGCATTTATCATGCAGTGTTTGTATCTACTGATTTCAGGACAGATGCTTTGAGATGTTGCATTTGTGATCTCACTGTTTTCTTACCACTGCTTATCTATATCTGTCTTCTTCTCTTACTTATGTTAATCTTCAAAAATAATTAAGAAATCTGAAGGATTGCTTTAAGTTTCCTCTAAATTTTACTTTCTGAATTTGTTCTTAATCTCTTGATGAATACTGCTGGTAAGTATTAGTCAGTAAGATTAGCTGTAATGTGTAGGCATTTTTTTAGTATCTGCAAATAGCTGTGAGTAATCCTTATTCAGACATGGTTCTAATTCACTTGTACTTTTGGAACTGATGAATAGCATTAGGATGGCTATTTGAGAATTTCTCTACATAAAAATTAATTGAAACTTAGTGTCATTATGCAACCTTCTTATTTTTTCATATTTTAAAATATTACATTGAAGAGTTCAATAATGGTGTACAGAAAATACCCAAGGTAGTCAGAATTTATTTCTGATCTCATACACTTATACTCATTTGCCTAATACATCACATGAGTTTATATGCCCCTTAATACATGTGCATAATGAGATTTTCATGTGCATACTGAAAAGAGGCTAATCTACCAATTTTCAGTATTAAGCACTGACAAAACTTTCCAAACAGTAGCAAGACCAAACTTTTAAATGCAGGCATTCAGTTTTACCAGAAATTCCTCTCTCTTTCTTTCTCTTTGTCCATATGTGCACTACTCACTTATAGATACAACTCTTCCAGCCTTGCTAGTGGAACTAAGTTTATAATTGCTATAGAAATTTGTGCATAAATAATACAAATGGTTTATAAAATATTGGTAATTAATGTTATGATACTATACATTCACAAAATCCAGAAGTTTCTATTTGTTTTCCTACCATGTTTGATTGTGGCCTAAGAGCAGACATTTTATGAGAAGAGATGACTGTGAGATTTCTACCATGCTGAAACGGGCTACATTACTTTTAGAACCATCAAACAACACAAGCCAATTTGTTCTCAGATCTAAACTAAGAACCATTGTGTAGACATAAACAGGATCCAAATACCATCCCTTTGATCTATATGTAACATAAAGACACTGTAATGCAGTGGTTTGTGAAGACAATATTTAACATTCTAGTATTGTTAAACACTTTTTGGTTAACTGAAGGTTTCGTGATAAATTATATAAACCTGAAATGGTGAAACAAGTGTCACACTCAGCGACATATCAAAACAATGGATTTTAAGTGACAGGCCACAACTTCATGAAATTTGCTCTGACCTATCATACAGAATTTCACATGTGAGGCATTTTAAGTAGTTACAATGTGCTGGGGTTACAAAGCTCCTACCAGCTGTGCTTAATTTATTTTGAAAGAGGTGCCAGGGCTCAAGCAATTTTTTAATAAGCTTTCCTACCTGATTTGGTGCAAACAAAGGTGCTGGGGCTATGAACTGCCATATATAAGAAGGGCTGGGCTCAGTCCCAGCAATACCTGGCACAAATTAAGTAATGCCGACCATATAACCTGTAATTCAGGACAGACTCTCCTAAGCCTACGCCTACGCCTGGGATTGAGCCTAGTCTTCTGAATTCTTTTGCTGTCTTTCCCCATCCCACCAAGGGGGATCAAAGATACTAAATAGGATAGAGGGAGGAATCTAAGCCCTAGAAGGCCATAGGAGCTCCCCCAACTCATAACCACAGGGTCCATCAGAAAAATTCCAGGTCTCTTACCTCTTTAACCACACTGGCAAATGCCACAAATAGTGATGAACTACTCTTCCTAAGTGCTATTGCTAATTAAACTAACCATACCTTCAAGATGCTGTGAGGAAGAAGAAGAAGAAAAAAAACCTTACTATGCTTCTGCCAGTTTGGTCAAGAAGAAATACTTGAACTGTGCAAGTATAAGTAGGAGAACCCTGATATATTATATAAAATATATTATGTTAAT